ATGACGTGGACTATGCGGACTCCCAACACCCCTGTCCACCATATGGTCAACAGTCGGACTGTCCGACACTCCCAACACCCGTCATCACTGGTCAGCCGGACTGTCAGGACTCCCAACACCCCCGGTCTCCAAGAGCTTGTGGTACTGTTTATGGCGCACCCCCTCTCCCAGAAACCCCCGGACGGCTGATCTTCTCGTCTATACAAACATCAAAATGACTGCAGACTTGAGAACCTTCAACGCTATAGGCGTTAACCAAACCCACAGACAGACCACTTTTTTGATTGCCTTCAATCCATACCACGAGATAAGAAGAGATGCTCTCACTATCTGTAAGACGAGTGCTTTTGTGTCCAAACGCCAGGACTAATGCAACCCATAAGAGGAGTACGAGAATGTGTTCAATGATATCTGTGATGAAGACTTAAAACCGCTTTTACTGTCCGTATAATCACTGATAGTAGACATCCCTTCCGTTTAATGTATCGTTTGCTTGATATGAAGGCCATTTTCCAATCAATGTAATCATTACTACTGTTTCTGAAGATTGCAAACCATCGAAGAATTTGATTTCAGACAATTCCAGAAATTTGGTTGTTTTTACGATTTGAATGATTTTGTGAAATGTTTGAAAATTTTGTTATAAGTTTTTATTTGTTGCAAAACTTTAAAATCATAACAAAGATTATTGTTAAATTCTTATTCATTGCAAAATGTAAACTTGAAATATTGTTGTTTTAAAATTAAATATTAAATTAACACATAAAATAACTTTTGATTTATTTTACCTAAAATTTTAAACAAAATTAATTAATTATGAATTTCTACCGGTGATTGCAATCGTCAATTGATGTACAATTACCTTTTTTTGTAACATATTGTAATTAAATGATTCATCTTTATAGAAATTGATGCTTAAAACCAGAATTTCGTCATTAAAACACATAATATTGATATTTAATATACATTCTTATAAATGAAACTTGATTTCATAGACACTGTATAAGTATTCGCCAGATTCTCAACACTTTTATTTCATTATTGCAGTAATTTTACCAAATTTTATGCAATCAAAAAGATATCAATTAAATTTTTTGTCGTATAACTGCCCATACATTTAGCCGTCTTTTCATTCATTTGCCAATTATATGTCTAATTCAGTAGAAATAAAATTTATGTTTAATTTATGTAAAACATTTATGTAAAGCTATTTGTATGTATTTTTATATTCAATCACTAAATCTTTATCGTAAAATCAAGAATGTTCCTAGCCAATTATATAAATTGCTAATTATTGTAACTATACTTTGTTATTGCATACTTAGTTATGCATACTTTCAATGCATTTTATAACATGTTTTGCATAATTAATTGATTAAATTAATTTTTTCAGCCAGATCTTTTTGTGCAATAATTGCAACAATTTCAGAAAATTTTTATATAAATACCAGACCCTATTTCATTTCTTACATATATTCTGTGGCACAATTTGGTGAGTAATTTGTTTATTTTAAAATATACATTTTTATGTTATGTACATTTGTTTAATCTTTATACTATTATATTGAACAAATGCTATACCAATAGAATATCATATTTATTGGTTTACAGAATAATTATGCAAAGTTGTAGATTGCATAATTATTTACTAATAACTTGTTAATACAATAATTGTAATACAATATTTACTACAATAACAAATTGTGATACAATAATCATGCAATTTATTAAAATATTTATTCCCATGATATCTAACTCTTTGACCACAAAATATTTAAAATATACATGTCTTGCATAATATGTTTGGCAATCCATATGCTTATGTGTGGCCAACAGAACACTATTTATAAACTCCTTATATAATACAAAATTAGGCACAACTCCAAAAAGTTATCACACGTCAACTTTACAGAATCAACACATTAAAAATGTTTATAACATTGACAATTAGTTGTCTACTAATTGTACCTAGTATTATTACTTGGTACATCAAGCGTCGAGAGAAAATGTCCCTGTTCAAGAGATTGGGAATTCCCGGCCCCGAACCCAATCTTATTACCGGCAATTTGATGGAATTCTTTGGGACACCTAATGTTGAATTCTACTCAACACTTATTAACCGGTAAGAATTTTTTAAAATTAATTACAATTCTGTACATTATATTTGTCTTACGGTAAGTTACGGACCAATTGTTGGCTACTATTTGGGCTCAAAACCAATGATTATTACTAAACACTTGGGACTGATTAAAGAGATACAGCGTTCGCGTGACTTTGAGGACAGACCCCGACTCGTGCCGGGAGGTATTAACCCGAGCTCTAAGCGGTGCAAAATGTTGGGCAATTTGCCGGTCAATGAATGGCGAGAATTGCGAAAGAAGTTAAACACCGGCTTCACTACAACTCAATTGCGACAAATGGTACCATTAGTCCAGCAAAAGATTGACAAATTCATTGACAAGTTATCTGATAAGGAAGGCTTTGAGATAGACTTTTACAAGTCTTATCAACGCCTGACACTAGACATCATCGGTCGCACGGCTTTCGGTGTGGACACTGATGTCCAGTACAACCGAAACGACAGATTTCTGATCGCTGTTAAGCAAGAGTTTGTGAAAACAGTCAACAATTCTTTGGTTAAACTATTGCTTTGTTTTCCAGAGTTTTATTACATAATTCAAGGCTTTCGGAAACTCATTGAATACGTGAAGGAAACCATAGGTTTGACGTCAACATCGCTTCTGTGGACGGACTGCGAGACAACTCTAATGATGAGAAAATCGGGTCAAAGAGTCGCCGATGACGGCAAAGATCTCTTACAGATAATGATCGACAAGGGTTTGCCTGACGAGTGTATTATCGCTCAAACCATTTTGTTCAATGAGGCCGCCTTTGAAACCATGTCTGCGAGTCTGGCTTTTATAACACACATTCTTCTCAATAACAATCATATCACTCAACAGTTGGCCAAAGAAGTGGAAGAATTTGTCCAAAATAATGATCTCGACTATAGTGTGGAGAATAATCTTCCGGTTATGGATTCTGTGATCAATGAAACTCTAAGACTATATCCGCCGCAAACCACCTTTATTTCGAGGTATTCACAATATTTTGTTACATAAATGTCAATTTAGTTGAATGTGTGATAATTTTTCAATTCATTTATTTAATTGCTCTAAATTTAGATGTAATCCAACTCAGGATTTTGAATACGAAGACCCGAGTGATGGCAAACACTACACGATTCCAAAAGGCATTCAAATTCAAGTGGCATTATATCAGATACATAGAGATGACAACAACTACCCAAATGCCAATCATTTTAATGCTTACAGATTTATGGATAGGTCAGGAAATCGTGTAAATATGGGTACAAACGGAGACTATTCAGTGAAATGGCAGCCATTCGGAAGGGGAGGACGCGATTGTATCGGCAAAACATACGCCAGAATCGTATTGAAACTAATCCTTTCAAACCTGTTGTTGAAATTCCGACTAAATACTACTGAAAACACTGCCAGAGATCGCGATTTGGAAATTGTTTACAAAACAGCGACAATGACTCCTAAGAATGGCATCTATGGCTCGGTTTCCGGACTTTTCCCATAAAATCAGTCTTAAGTGTTTAAGTGATTCCCTGTTAAGTGATTAATTTAATGATTATAAATTTTATTGCTCTTGTTATTATTATAAATTTTAATTTGTCTATGTTTTATAAATTATCACTAGACTTACTTAAAAGGAGGGTAAATATGTATATTAATTGTTGAATTTTAAAAATACGCAAGTTAGTGTTCACAAATACGTAACAATTAAACCCGAAATTTGAACCTTATTTTAAATAGTACCAAAATAAACACTCAAGTTATTCAAATACCGACTTATACGTAGGATTTTAATTGTTGTGTAATTTGTGAACTTGCGTATTTTTAAAAATACAACAAAATATTTTTACCCTCCTTTTAACTTTATGTTAAGTCTATTTATCACTTATTTTATTGTATTGATAATATTATAATAATATCATCAATAATATTTTTAAAATAAAATTATTTCTGGTCAACCAAGAAGATATCAATTATTAGTATAAATTGTACCAAATTAAACATGAATTATTTACTTATAAATACCACTAATTACTGTCAATGAAAATATTCTATAACATGGATAAAATAAATATAATGTAAAAACTAACAAATCAAGAGATATAGAAGTTTATTAGTAATAAGAGACACTAATTATTTTTAAAAATTTTAAACATAACAATAGTATTAAAAGTTCAAATGTTTGTATTGTAATTTTTTAATAGTGTTTGGATTGACTTTAAAAATTCAATTTTCACGAATAAAATTTTCAAATTTTACAAAGCACTCAAATCCCAAAACGACAAAATGTCTGGAATTGTCTCAAATGTGATTCAAATTCTTCGATGGTTTGCAATCCTATTCATCCAAACACTAGTAATGATTGCAATCATTACAAAATGGTTTTCATCTCAAGTGATCGATACGTTAAGTGGAAGACTATGTCTGCTATCAGTGACAATACGGACACTTAAAGTGATATTCAAAGCACTGAAGGTCTTCATCACAGATATCATAGGAGTTGAACACATTTTCGGACTCCTCTTATGGGTTACATTAGTCCTGGCGTTTGAAAACAAAGCACTCGTCTTACAGATAGTGAGAGCATCTCTTCATATCTCGTGGTATGGATTGAAGGCAATCAAAGCAGTGGTCTGTCTGTGGGTTTGGTTAACGCCGATAGCGTTAAAGGTTCTCAAGTCTGCAGTCATTTCGATGTTTGTATAGACGAGAAGATCAGTAATCCGGGGGTATTTTGGGAGAGGGGGTGAGCCATAAACAGTACCACAAGCTCTTGGAGACCGGGGGTGTTGGGAGTCCTGACAGTCCGGCTGACCAGTGATGACGGGTGTTGGGAGTGTCGGACAGTCCGACTGTTCACCATATGGTG